TATAGCATTACAAAGAACAGATTAGAAATATATTATAAGTTTTCATAATACTGAGTCACTCTAGTGTATTGCAAGAACTAGGATTTTCTCATTTATACAATAGGGGGAGGGCCATGATATTTTAGGCCAAGCTCAAGGGGAGGGTTAGCAAATTTCACTCCCATTGCAGGAATGGGTCACCTCATTTCCGAACCCACATTTCAAATTCCCACCCCCCCCCCCCCCCTGCTAATTTCTGACAAGTCCCTTACTGGGATTCTTCAACACTACAGGCTCTCCATGAACATGCATGTTTGTTCTATGAGAAGTGTAATGCAGACCGTACGCGTGTAGGCAAAGTTGTGATAATTCTGTAACAAACTTCTTAACAAACTTTGTCATTTCCATTCAACCCAAAACTGTCAGTGATTTTTGCTCTTTCACTCGAACTGTAAAACAAATAAAAACCTTATACAGATCACACTTACTGACATCACAGTGCAAAAACACTACTATAACACAGACCGTTAGCTGTCATAACACTGTTCACCGAAACTTACAACAACATCCTTTCTCAAGCATTTTGTTGCTTTTCTTCTGCATGAGTTAATTCAGACTAAGTATTAGCCTCCACAGAGGAGGGGGAGGGGGTGCGAGAGGTAAACTATAGCTATGCAATCCCGCGTCCCACTGGGCCCCGGTAAGTTCCACGTAGTGGTTCTAGTTTTTGATAATACTCGTAATTTTTTTTTTTGTAGATTCTTTGGCAATTCTTTTGTAATACTTTCACCCTTGTACGTAAACAAAAAGCTGTACTAAAGTTGGTGTTTCAGGTCAAAATTCAGGTTAAAATTTTTTAACCTAGGTTGCTTCTCAATTTCCTTGGTCTCCTAGCACTAATTCAGGAGTAGGAGACAAAGGAAATTAAGAATCCATCTTGGTTAACAAAACTTCAACCTGAATTTAATTTTGAACTGCAACACCAACTTTAATAAAGCTTATTACAAATTTACATACAAAAGAAAAATTACAAAAGAACTGCAAAAGAAACTACAAATATGCAAAATTACAGGTATTATAAGATAAACAACAAAGAGATGAAGCAAAAAGGCCTAACAGAGGCAGCATTCATTGTGCAAAGAAAAAAAGGGCAAATCTATACAGAGGAAATTTTGAAGGGCATAAGGGATTTGAGAGTTAAACTGTTAAACTGAAAATTCCATTCTTTAGGTAGAGACTGATTAGCAGTTTAGTGTTGTCAAAAAATAACACTCATACAGCTGAACCCCACTTTACGGACACCCGCTTAATACAGACACCTCGTTATTACGGACATTTTTCTTTGTCCCAGGGGAAAGCCATCACATCGTCTCTAAATTCAACCCACTAAATACAGACAGCTGTCAACATGGACAACAATTGCTAGATAATTATTTAGGCGATCGGAATAGAGGTTTCGTAACTGATGGCACTTCGGTTTTTCTTATCTGTCTGTAAGATTCTAGGTAAAAGTCCTAGCTTCCCCCCCATGTCCCTTTACGAAGAGGTTTCTTACTTAGTTGTGTTTATCTGTGCATGTTTTGTTTGGTTTCTATGTTTTAATAGCTTAATCATTTGTTTTAGAAGTAAACGCCTAGTACAAATTCCTATCATACCGTGCAGCGATTGTGGAGCTTTGACACCAGGTGATGTAAGGCTTCCTCTGCAAAGCTGCCCAAGAGAATATCTATGGCTTTGACAATAGCATCACTAAACGTCAGGGCATTAAGAGACAATACAAAGCGTAGAGAGGTGGCTTCGCAAAAAAAATTACTCGTAAGATTAACAGAATGCCAAAGTGCGAGCAAACTTGTATACACCAAGTTGCTTTCTACAAAATGCAAGTTACCATCCCATAATCAACAGAAATGGCTAAAAGACTGCAACGAAAATGATGTGGAGGCGATTAATTGGCGGGAAGCCTACCAGTTGGCCACTAAATATACTAAAAGTACAAGAATTATTGAATTCCAATATAAATTTTTACATAGACGAATATCAATGAACCACTTCTTAACAAAAATTGGCGTAAAAGACAACCCAAATTGTTCTTTTTGTAATAATGAACCGGAGAAACTTCTTCATCTTTTTTGGTCTTGTCCTAAAGTGGCCTTCTTCTGGCATAGTTTATCTCTTAAGCTGACTTTGCTCCACATTACACCGGAACATTACACATTAGATATATTTGTTGTACTTGGTCTAAAGCCGGATTCTTCAAAAAACTGCCAGCAAATTAATTTCCTTTTCCTTCTAGCCAGAAATTACATCTGGATTAGCAAAAGAAGGGAAACCTCGCCAAAGATAGCAGGCTTCCTGCAATACCTCAAATCATTCTACCACATAGAGACCACTGCAGGTCCCATTTTACCAAAAAAATGGGAAAATGTGAGCTCCTTATTTCAGTAAGCCTTTGATTTTGTATACATTTGTATATCTCGATTCTCTGCTCATTTTCTCCAGCATTAACCTGGTGTATCTTTTTGCTTCACAATCGCTGCCTCTTTAAGACACTTAAGATATAAGTGCGTTTACCGTGATAAGATATAAGTGCGTTTACCGTGAATGTTGGTTTTGAAGTACAATTATTACTAATTAGAACTGCTTGTAAATAATGCATTGTAGTGTGAGTAGTGAGTAGGTAGTGTTGTAAGTACTGAGTATTGTAAGTCTTTACATTGTAAACAGAGTAAGTACCTTAGTCTATTGTATTCTAAATATTGTATTGTAAGTAGCGTAAGTATCGTAGTGTTTGCAAGTATTTTTGATTGTTGATTGTTGATTGAATAAATGTTATTAAAAAAAAAAAAAAAAACATGGACAACAGACACTTTTTTCTTGCCCAATCAACAGATTCTAATAAAAAGTCAACCTCACTAATGTTGATATTCATTATCAACTGTGTGCTGTTATAGAACTTTCCTTCTTGAAGGTGAAAAAAAACCCTTCAGTTGACAGTATTAGTATTATACTACACCAGATAGGGTGAATTGTAGATGTCAATTTCAGACAACTACACATAGTATCTTGAGCATTGCAGGAATTATGCAGAGAACAGTTTTGAATTAATAAGTAATATGTAAAAGCATGGTTCTGTGGATGTAGTCCAAGAAATAACGGCTTTGTGAAGTTTAGAAATGTTTAATTTGACAATGCTAATGTCCTCTTTTATTTCCTTTATATTTTGCATTACTAAAGGTGCCATTTTGACTTAAATAACATGACCCGCTAACTACGGACACCCCAATACTATAAAGACGTTCTATGGCCCCTTCAGCTTACCTCAAGTCTCTCGAGATCAGAATTTCCTAAGCCTGTTGCTTTTAAGTGAACACTCACAAGAACAAAGTCAAATTTGTTGGCCTATGAAAAACAAAAACAAACAAAAAATAACAAAACTGTACATCCTCTATTAAGCCTCTTTGAGGCTTATTAATTTTAAGCATGTTTGAGGTGGGGGGTAACAAATAGAAAGGGGAGGCTATCTAATTTAGCAAAGAAAATGGCATAAATTCTCCTTAAAGAACTAACAACAACAACAACAACAACATCTTTATTTCTTACATTAAATATACAAATATCACACCACCTGCAAATAGCAAGGCTAATCGAGGCAGGTGGTGTGTAGACGGCTTAAGATTTATTACGAATAGTTGAAGTGAAAAAGTACCACATTAATTATAATAAAAAGGTCAGTCACGAGAGAAATTGAGATAAGAAAATAAGAAAATCGAGGCAGCTATTTAGATAAGCGGGGGCTAATATTTTTTAAAATCGGAGATTATCGTGTTTAGGTCAGCATATCTATCCTGAACTTCAAATATTTTCAACAGAATTGTATGAACTTTTTCCTTAAAGAGAGATTTTGAAGAATTTCATAAATTTTCAGGTATACTATTCCAAATTTTGGCTCCCATAATAGAAAACGAATCATTTTTCTGATTTAGTCTAGAACTAGAATGCAAAATGGAAATAATCACGCAGACGAAGTTGGTGGTCATGCAGCATAAGATCAAATGAAATTTTGGCAACCTGTTGGGAGCAATTTGGAATGTTTTTATTCCACTGTTGACTCAAAGTCGAACCAGGGATACCCCTAAGTACTAAATCCAGTATCCATTTATAAATTGGGCAGAGTGAGGTACAGTGCACTGCAAAGGGAAAGACATTTAGTGATTTGCCCAATGGGCAAGATTACAGGAAAGTCACCCGTCTCCAACTAAACCATTAGCTACGAAAAGCAAGTAGTTGCTTTCGGCAAGCACAATGTGAGAGTTACTTGCCCAAACTGGCAAAGGACATGCCACTGTAGAATTCAAGTCTATTTCTGAGCGCGGGAGGGTACAGGGTATGATTGCAGGCTACCCAAGAACACAACACAATGACCTTGGCAGGGCCTAAACCTAGACCTCATGATATGGAGCTACCTGTAAAGCAGTAACCAGTAAACGTCATTTTTTTTTCTGTATAACAATACTTACAGAGTAAAACACTAATTTTAAATATTAAAAACCTTAAACAAAATTGACAGTACCTCAAAGAAACCAAGGTAAGGTCTTCTGGCAAATTGCTTATGACCTTGCTTTGGTTTATTAAGGAGGGCATCACTTTTTAGCTTGATACCTTTTGATGAACTTGTATTCCACAGAAAGCCATTGTATTCCTTGGACTAAAATTTAAATAATAAACGATTGAAATAAGTTGAATATAACTTGGAACATCTCCATTTGGACACTTCTATTCAAGGGACACCTCCATTCACAGAACACAAAATTTGGTCCAGGAAATTACATGTATTTTCATAATCTTTATATCTGTTACCTCTATGGAAGGGACACAGCCTCTATCCAGGAAGAAGGGACACTTTTTCTGGGTACCAAACCCTGGTTTACATGTACCTTCATTCCAGGGACACATTAGCACTCAAAATGTGACTGACTTCAACAGAAGGTTGAAAAGTCTAAGTGTACACTGAACAATGATGACAGGTCACAACACCAAGAACTATCTCACTTGAACTACATGTAATGTACTGCACTTGTGGGAATTCAACACACAATATGGCAGAGAAAAGTTTATCATGATTGAAATTACATATACTTTCCAAAAATTTTCCTTGCTCCTTATAAGTCCTGACAATGGAAAATAATTAACCCATTCTACCCTAGGCTATATAAGTTGGGTCACACTAACTTTTTAATCTGTGAATAAAGTTCTCTGGTGTTACCATTCAAATGAAACTTCTTTGGAAGAATTTTTGCATAGATCTATTAATTTCTTAGGACTTTACAACAGCAAATTTAATGTTTGCATGAATTTTACCGGTAGTCATTGCAACTGCCACTTTTTGAAGTGAAAGCATGAGGAATGGGTCTTAAAAAAATTTACAGATGCTACTAATAACACTTTTAGAAATTAAAAGCACATACCCTAAACATGTAACCTGCAACATCAGATGTGCAACATTGCCAGTGTCCACGATGCTTAAAGCTTTTCACAGCATCAATTGTTGGATTATTCAATTCATCTTTAATCTGCACAACAACCACACAGAATTTGTAAATGTCATTAGCAGGTGTAGGAAACTACACTTCTGGTTAAGTCCGACTGTCTACAGGCCAGTGTCCACAGCCCTGTTCTGGGCCATTAGCTCTTTACCAGAATTAATGGGTATGCACCATGATTGGCCTGCTGCTAAAGTTATAGTTCAGTTGGCCAATCAGGTTTAAAGAGAAATTGGAAATGCACCTCCAGTAATTCATTTCAGTATGACTACTGTAACCGGGGCCACCTAGACAAAGTTGACCAACTGGATTACATGAAACTAACAATCCATTCCAAGAAAGTTGGTTGTGGACCAATCAGCAAGCTTGTTAGAAAACAATAAGTTAGATGAAGTACAAAAGTTAAATATTGATAGCAAACGTTTTTCAAGAAAGCAAAGGGTTTCACCAGACAATGTTTTTCCATTTGAAACTTTACATTATGACACCCAGGGGATAAAGAAGTCAAAGATATGACTAACATCCTCCATCGACACTCTAAACATAGGTTTTCTTCAGAAGGTTAAAAAGGTCACCTCTTCAGGTTCACTGTAAGTCTGTTGGGAAACCAGAACAAGGATCTTACCCTTGCTTTGTAAGTCCTAAAACTCTAAATAATAAACAAGAACAAGGATCGATATTTGGTTACCCTTTGGGTTTGAATAGGGTTACAGTGACTAGTAGTCATCTTCAGAGGGGAGTTGTGTCACGTCAGTTGATGGTATTATACTCTGGTTATTGATCTGATTGGTCAATTAGCGCGATGTTGGGACACAGCCGTGATGTTATTGGCTATGAAGACTCGTAATCTAAAACTCAGTTAAACAAATTGTTAGTAATCTGACTTAGTTCTCTATTCAAAACATCAGGCTGGAGAAAAAAAACGAGTAAATAAGACAAGACCATCATTTTAGAAATCAGAAACTGAAATAATGAAACAGAAAAATGATTGTTTATAGAACGTTCAGTGGTGTGATGGCACAGCCTTCATATACTATCCACAGTGAACAAAAAATGTACAATAAAACTGTATTTACCATATTTAGTGCATTTTCATCACCAATTTCTTGAACAGCTAGTACTTCAATTCTGTGGAAACAAAAACCCCATGAAAGTGAAGAGAAGAAGTAATACAGATTTTTTAAACAAAAAAACTTTAACCAAGACTATTAGACTGAATTTCAGCCATCTCCTTGAGTCACAAACTCCCAACAGAGACATCTGAATCAATGAGTTTCTCATTTCCTGCGATAGTGATGTCATAACTTTTGCTTCAATTAGTGCAAAAAAGTATAAATATAAAAATATCATCAATTGAAAAAGGAAGTGTTCAAGACAGATTTTGTCTCAAATTGTTTTACAATGGAGTTTAAAATAACAAGTCTTTGAACTGTCAACTGCATGGCTAGATGGACAGTTCAAACACTTGATGTTAAAGTGAGTTATTAAAAAATCCATTAATTTAAGAACAAAAGACCTTTTTTGAATATTCCTTCAATTTAACTGTTGTAAAATTAAACTTTCTTGACTTGAATTGAGGTTGACACAAGGTTGATAAACTACTGCGGCCTATTAATGAAATCATTGCTGAAACCAGAAAACAGCTCTACTTGAAAACCTTCCCATTTTCCGTATTGATTCTTCATTCATAGGTACATGTGAATAATTATGATGGAGTCTGGAAAAGTTCATTTTTTTGTTTACAATTGGCAGTACCATGATGTTTGAAACCAATAAGCCATGCTACATGTACACTGTATTGGGTGAAGTTTAATTTGGTCAGTTGAGTTTGACATAATACTAGCAAGACTTTCACATGTAAAATGGGCCTTATAAAGGAAACCAGGAAATTGACTCAGATAACTCGAATAATTGCCTTGAATGAGATATCACTAACGCCCTTCCTAACACAATTCAGGATCTCACAAATGTTAGTTCTGGATGTCCTAGGGAAAAGTTGAAAAATCTGTCAGGCAAAAAGTTCACTACTCTTGGAAGCATGTCAGGTATTATTTGCAGAAGCCAAAGGCTGAGGCAAATAATTTAACCTGCAATTATCTGCCTTTTTTAATGGTTTTTTTTTATTTTTTTGAGTGAATAATTTATTTTGCAAATTGTCACATATCGAATGACAATACCATTTGGCCTGCATTACCACTTTGCAAATTGTCACCAGTCATCATTAAACCAAATCTTATAACCAAACTTCTCACAAGGCCACCACTAAAGCATTTGAAATTTGATGAGAAAAATTTGCAATGAGATGATGAGATGTTTTTAGTAAAATCAACTACAAGTACCACACAGCACTTGTTAGATGAAAAAGTCACAGTATACATGTATGCCGGACCCTACAAATGTCTCACGTATTTAATTTAAAACAGCTCAAATGCTTACCCATTTTCTAATATTGTACAACAAACAACCTCTAGAACACCAGAATTTTCTGCCTTATCGGAAGAAAAAGAAAGCAAGTTCCAGCTTGCAACACGCACAGTATTATCACGGGGAGTAATATTTTGAGTCCCTCTCCTCTCATAATTCTGATTTTGACTGCTTTGTGAGGTTTCAATGGTTACTTCTGAAGATATTCTCTCTAGAAGTTTCTCACTCACACCACGTACTAACACAACATCCTCAATGCTAGGAAACGGTCCATGTTCTTTCCTGTACTGAACAATTCTGTGTGCAAGAGTAGGTCCAATCCCTTTTATTTGCTCCAGTTCCTTTTCTGATGCTGTATTAATACTTATTTTATCCTTCAAGTGAGCAGGACCTTTCTTCGGGATTTCTTCGCGAATTTCATTTCCAAGTGTCTCGTAACTTAGCTCTCCTATTGAATTCACCCTCACAAGAATGTTGTCTTGTAAATGTAGATGATACTTCGTGTTATGTTTCTCTAAAACATTGACAATGTCCCCCGTAGCATTCAAGAAACCTTTCTCGTGTCGTAGGACGAGCTCATTTGCAATTTTCTGGTTCAAGCCGCCTTGAACAAGAGTTTCAACGGCCTGTGTATCGCTTGCTTCACCCTGTAGTTCATCTGAGGTACCAAGACGTTCTTGATACTTTCCTCCTCGATCTCTCTTTTTGAGATGTACTCTAACTTCCTGATTATCTCCAGTTGCCTTGCTGCGCTTTCGTCGAAAAAACTTAGTCTTCGAGAATATGCATCCCATTTTAATTTAGGTGTAATACCACCATGAACAAAGTAAAGTAGATGTCATAACAGCCACAAATCCGCCATGTTTTCTTCTTTGCCTCGATTTCGTTCAATTCTCCCAGGATAAGCCGCTGAACACTAACGTAGCAAACAGCAGATTCAGGCCAGGGCCTTTCTTTCATTTATTCTTTCTCTTTTCTTTTTCTTTCTTTCCTCCGTTCATTCATTTTTTTTTTGTTTTTTGTTTGTTTCGTTTTTTTAAAAAGTGTGCAATAACTCGAATAAGTGGAGGCCCATGCCTCAATTCACCTGAGAATCTTCCTGGTTTTTCAGCAAGTACACACGATAGATGGGCGAGATTTTTCTTTGATATAATTATTAAATAATTGTGTTTTCAAATGTACGGCTAATTCACACGTTTTCAAGTTGAAAATTTTGCATATTAGGAAATGATGAGCAGATAAAATTTATTTTATAGGGTACCAACACTGTTATACCAGTTTATACTTTCTCTAATGCTGTACGGCCAGGGATCGTTGTTACAAAAACAAGACGACCGAGGACTTTATGGATCTTCAAGACGATTTTGTATAATGCATGCATTTTCTGGGTCCATTCTCTTCACCCTCGCTCATTAACTCTTCAGCTTTGTGAAAAAAAGTGGCCCTATCCAACGCTTACCTGATATTATTAATAACCGCCTGAACGAATTTTTAAATGGACTAAAACTTGCACGGATCCACCTTTCTGCACGCGGGGACCCGCGGAATCGTGCAAGTTTTTTGACGGCGAAGTGTGTCAGTTTTTGACCTGATAAGAATTCGGTCAAAAGTTTTGACCGTTACAGTTCCACTTTAAGGGGGATCTCGTGAAAACATCTGAACAGTGCAAGTTTTTGCACAGTTTGAGTGGTAAAAGCCTGGAGCCTAGTTACGCGCCTGACACTGAGACTTGCAAAAAATTGCACGGGCGCGGGCTCGTGTTAACAGCAATGTAACCTTGGTAAAAGAATTTGCACAGCGTGGTTCCTAGAGGAGGCGAGAGAGGGGTACTTCCCATTCAAGTGACAGGGATCATGATCGAATGGGGGTAAAAATCAAAACCCAAAAAAATCCCTGAAGCAAAATTTAACCCCCAAAAAATCCCTTACCGAATTTCCTAGCCATAAAAATTTCCAGGAAGCCTAAATGATGTAACACGAAAAATAGAAACATTGCGGTTTTGAATACCCATAAAAATCCCTACTTGATCAGGCTACCCGAAAAAAATACTTGCCAAAATTTTCCTACCCAAAAAAATCCCGAAATCGAAAATTTCAAACCCACACAAAAACCCTTCGGTCATCCGCGTCACTTGAAATCCGGAGTACCCCTGGCCTCCGGCCCCCTCCCCCCGCTGGGGCGCGGTTCCGTGTAAACGGGTTGCGCCGGTATAAAACATGTCAGGCTCCTTTCCGGACCCGTATAAAATGGGTCGAAAACGGGGTCTAAATCTCCAGTTCAGCAGACTGAGTAGAAACATGAATAGATCAACCTCGTCCCCAGGTTAGCCTGGAGACGGGGAGAAGAGAGAGCCTGAGGACGAGGCTGTGTGAACAGAAATCACCAAGGGAGTCTTGACATGGCACAATATCGAGGTAAAACCGCTAAATCTGCGGATGATTTTAACGGTAGGAATTATAACCCAGACTGGCCATCTAAGGTGATGTTTTGAATACCTTAGCGATATTGTTCTATTTCTTTTAGTGTAAATTTATCAGACGGTATGAAACAATTCTGAAACAGAAATATCGGTTCTGAAACTGTATTTTGATACAAAACAAGAATTAACTGCGTTAAAAATACCTTTCTGAAGTGTTTCTCATACCTTTTCGGAATGTTTATCTTTCTCCTTTTAAAAGAAATTTCCTTGTTTGAAGCTCCTATGCAATATAACGCGCAAACAAACCCCTAGTCATGATTATTTTATGGTCGGCCAACATAATATTAAACACAACCTTACATCTCACTGATATGCAATAAATATATCGGTACCCGAGCAAATCAGTGTCGAAGAATATCAACCAAATTTTTGTTCAAACGTTTTCCGCAAATTCCTCCTTTTTTAGCCTTATCATTCACTTGTATTGAGTAATTTCGCCATTTTCCGTCGCATCTCGCCATGGTCGCGGCCTAATTGCTTGGTTTTCCTTGTATGGCCAGAATATTATACATTCAGTTCTTTCTTCTTCGGCAGCTTTTATGAGCTCGCCTATTCAGTTTTATTTGATCATCGACTACGCAACTTCAGTTTCTTTTAAAATACATTTTCAGAAACTACGTTGTAGGAAATCGTCCCATAAAAGCGAAAAAACTATCATTCTGGAAAGAAATTGGAATATTCGCATAACCGGCGAATTTTTTTCTCTCAGATATATCTATATTTAACACGAAAACCGAAAGCTAACACTTCCGAACCTAAAAATAGAAATTGTCCTTCATTAAAAAGAAATAGCTAAGGTAAAAATAGAAACAAGCATTTATGAGTATTCAAAAACCTTCCAGGTGATATTGTGGCGAAACATGAATGTTTAAACATAATGTGTTGTTATGACAACTGACAGGGCTGCAGAAACAGGTGCAAGATTTGCAAGATGGGGACTGGCTCAGAAGGCCTTCAAGCACAGACAACGGGTGCAAAACAATATTTCGCATATTATTTAAATTCATCTAACTTCAACGCGGTCGTTGGGAGCAAAAAATGAAACATTTTAACTGTTAGTCGTAGAAAAGTTAACCGCAAAACCTTTTAGCCACAATTTTTAGAGGATGTAGAGATCACTAAGACTCTTACGGCACGCTTTACCGATTTCTTTACTGATTTTGAGAAAAAAAACCGACTGTTTTGCAGTCTAGTTATAATTTTGCGCATCTGGTCTAACTTGTGGCCGATAAAACCCTATTTGAATCTTTTATTCCATTCCAGTAAGGTCTTTAGAGGTCTCCAGAGAGATGAAAACTTAATTTTCGGATGTTTTAAAACCAATTTTTCTGAGGATGTTTACGGAAATATGAATTAACTGTTAGCCATAAAAAGCCAAGTGTCAATACTTATTGTTATAGAAGCAAATGCAACCACCTCACTGAGATCCTTTTAATCGCCCCTACGTTTCTACTTGATCATTTAAGGCTACTTTCTCAAAATTACACATGTCATCAGTTAAAATACCCCCTCCGAGGTTCATTTGCATTGGATAAATTTATCTTCTATCTAGTTATTTTGGGGACATAACAATGTTCATGGCCTTCATTCAAAAAAGGAATTCAAAGCATGCTATTGAGTATTTTCTCAGAAGTAAATTCGTTCATTGGTATATACCAGATCATTTCTAAGGTAAAATCCTCATTAACGAGAGTATTTAACAATTATTCCTCGAGCCCGAATGGGCTCTTGACTCAGAGGCCATTCGGACTCGAGGAATAATTGTTTTAGTAAAACCCAACTAGTTGGTCGAAAATATCGAGACAAAACAACTCTAGCTAGCAAAACGCGATTCAGCCGCCATCGTTTTGGTTTTCAAAGCCGGCGCTTTTCGCTACTAGTGGGCTATATAACATATAGCCTAGTAGTAGCTCAACCAATCAGAACACAGCATTGATAATAGACCACTAGTTGGATTTTACTAAAAACTGATACCATCTCTTTTTTACCAGCCGCTGTACAATGTAAATCCTTTCTCCCCTTTGCAAAATCTTTCCATCCGCAATATATTATATATGGACGAACATGGAGATAAAAGAACAAAAATCAAATATTCCCTACTAGTAAATCGACTGGCCTGCCAAGATTAGCTCTTGCTACCTGAGAGCCAGTGCACTTTTGTAAAATTTAATGATAAGGAAAATAAAGATTTCTGTTGTTGTTGTTGTTGTTGTTGACTACCTTTGAATAAATTGGTTAAGTTACGCCCACCCAAAAATAACAGTTAAATTGGCGACCAAGACTGGAAGAGGACTCCCTAAGAAAAGTGCAATACAAGAACGAAAAACTCGGGGCTCTACAATCCCTAGTGCCGCAACGTATCGCAACGATTTGCAACGACGATTTTTAGCGGAACACAGCGTTGCAATGTTGGAACAATGTTGCAGCTATTCGAAACAATGTTGCAACAATGTTGTAACGCTGTGTTGCGCTAAAAATCGTCGTTGCGAATCGTCCCGTTCACGTGTAACATCACCTTCAGACCGTATAGGGGCACCCAACGAGAATATAGTTCAAAACACTAAACATAGTATTGTTGAACGTATTTTAGTATTTAAACGGTAGCTATAGGCATATTTTTATTCCATAAGATTTTTCTTCTGTTCGGATTTCCTAGCTGAAAGTCTCGTGATCCGAAAATTATAGGGAACAAAACTTACCTTTTTGAAAATTTCAGCCAGAAAAAAGGCTTCCGAAAATTCTAGGTGACCTTTTTAGGGTAAAAATCCGTTAAAAATAGGCAATTATACCCTTTTTTAGATGTTCGAAAATCCTAGGAGAGGCAGGCAAGCAAGAAATCTTACAAAAATGTTCCGAAAACAGTTCTAGATCTCAAAGCGTCTTCCGAACAGATATTTTCCGAAAATTGACGTTGGGTGCCCCTGACCGTTTTACAACAAACTCGTAGTCAAGTACCCACATTCGTACCTTGAAATGTCAAGGCTAAAAAAATTAAATAATATGAAATAAAAAATGCGAATTATCCGAAAAAAGCAAACAAACTCAAAAACACAAGTTTTCTCAATTCATTTAACTCTGCTTGTTTCTAGCTATGAAATAGTTTTTTCCCTAAAATAACGGACTTTTTCTTTTTTCACCCGAATGTCTGTTTCCAGAGTGGCGCGTGATTCATTGGTGGACCAATACATTAGGTAGCAGCAAGTTGGATTTATAAAGCATGAAAACGTTGCTGTGACGGGGGGATAGAATAGAATAGAATAGAATAGAATAGAATAGAATAGAAACTTTATTAAAGTGTCAAAAACCGTCTAGCCAGGGAACAAATCCCTTAC